TATTCCACATCTGTTGATAAATGTGTAGACTCATTTATATTTAGAATATTTTTGTCATTCATTCCATTGACTTCATGTTTCAGTATATTCTTTTATTCAGCTTTTATTATAGATCAGTTTTTTATAAAGTTAATTTATACATATTTTTGTGAGCAATGCATACATTTGTTCTTTTCAGCCAGCAACACAGCCTTTGTAAGGTTCATTGAATGGGCTGAGCTGTAACAACCAAACAAATTTAGACAGTCAGAGGTGGCCTATATTTTTCAGCAAATTCTACTTTTATAGTAATACCAACTTATTGTGCAAATGTCAAATACAGGTGGCCTCGTAGCCAGCCAGGCTAGCAAGTGCTGAAGCAGCCCCAGGGCCAGCTGTACTAGCTGCTACTCCGGGAACCCAAGTAGGAGACACTGGGGAACCACCCAAGCAGTGACCAAGGCTTCCAGAGCAGCTGCTAATCCAGCAGTGCTGGTCCCCTCATTCTTCCCTTTCCCTCTCACCATGCAAGAGCACCTTGCCAGATAGTCATCTATGTTTTTAGTATATCATGGATAGGTCACAGGCCATGAATTTTTTGCTTCTTGCACGTAACATGTTCATGACTTCTACTAAAAATACTTATCTATGCACCAGGATGCAGAGGAAAGCACTCTCCTCCCCCTAGTCCATGAGGGGGGTGCGAGGCAACCCAGCCTCTCCCCCCCCCTCCTCCCATATCAAGTTTTGCTGCCCTGTTCAGTTTGTTTTTTTGGTTTTGGCTTTTGGCTCAACAAGTTTTGCTGCGATTTGGGGGTTTTTCAAAAATCAAAAAGGGGGGCTGTGATGCCAAAAAGTTTGGGAACCGTTCTGACACAGGGGAAGATACTTTCCTAACACTTATTGTGGTGTCAAGTTTAACTGAGTCTCTCTCATATAAGCATTGGTCAAGTGTCTGAGAGGTTCTCTATACCAGTGTTTCTCAACCTTTTTTTTTATATATATAAAGTACCCCCTTTAAAAAAAAAACCTCCAGTACCTACTGTTTTCAGACACACCATTTTTTTCTACCATTGCAACACGTTTGTTTAAACAACTTAATCATGGGCGGGCGGGTGGTGAAATTTTGGGGTGTAAAAAGTACAAAAATAATAAAACTCTGTAAAACTTAAAACAAAAATTCAGTTCTCCAAATTTCAGTTGTGTATATATACCCCCCAGACTTCTCAAGTACCCCTAAGAGTACTCGTAACACTGGTTGAGAAACACTGCTCTATACCACCTCAGAGCACTGGTGAACTGTGTCAGTGTTCAGTTACCATCATGCTAGGAAGAAATATTATATTGTAATACATACACAAAGGATTATAGAGTTATAGTTGTATATGCAACTTTTAGCATTTAGGCTAACATTTTCAAAAATGCCTCTGAATTAGCCTCACATTTTATTGTAAGAGTATTTAGGAGCCTAAACCTTGTTATCTTTCAATGAAAATGATGGTTAGGCTTTTAAATCACTTACACACTACTGAATGTTTTACTCTTCCTGAATTTTGAGTGCTTCTTAACCCAGAAGTTTATTTTCTGTTAGCTTAGCTTTTTTATGGAATTGTATCTGGTTCTCTGTGACTGGGAAGATTAATGTACTGCACTTCCTGTACCCTGGTCTAGTGAATCTTTAGCTAAGAATTAATATATCTCAACTCATGGTGAATCACACCAGCCATGGCATTGACAGTATAGTTAAATGCTGAAGTTCCCAGTTTTTTATGATATTTCTAAAATCCTTCTGCAATTTACACTTGCTTCCAGGAATGAAATTACAGAGGCAGATATATATACAAACACACTAGTATTTTAAAATAAGGGAGTTACATCAAGTGTAGGACCAGTGTTAAGGACAATTCAGTCAAGGTGGACGCGGCTCATTCCCACCAGCTAATTGGGAGGTGTGAATACCAAGAGAGGGAAAATTGCCTTTAGTTAGATAATCATGCTAAATCCTTACTCAGTCATAATTTGATCATGTTATATTTGCAAATGAATTGTAGCTCTGTTGTTTTTCTTTGTAGTCTGGTTTTGAGGGGGGGTTGTAGGAGGATGGCTACTTTTAAATCCATTACTGAGCCTCTAGAGAGGTTGAAGTGTTCTGCTGATTTTTGCATGAGCATAGCTAATCTTATTGGTTTCAGTGGCAATAGATGGACCAGATTACATTTCTCTTCCACTTTGAGTTGGTATTATTAATAATGTACTGTTAAATTTGTCACCCATATTTACTTAGTTTTTTTTCTTAGTTTGTGATTCAAGCAAGGTAACTTGGGTTTCTTTGTTTTTGTTGCTAATTAAATCTTTATATATTTAAAGTATTTCTATTGAGTTACGCAGGTAAATAAGAGGATGTAAGCTTCTTTACAATCTGTATTCCATTTATGATAGATTGTATCTCCTTGTTCGGCATTCTCAGGACCTGACCAATCACTGACCAGGGAATCTGCTGGATTAGGGAGGTTAGTTCTGCTGCTGCAGGCTGCAGGGCTCTGTTCCAGTGGGAACAGTGGGGGAGGCTCAGCAGAAGAGGCAAGGTGGCTGGTAGAGCCCCACTGCTGATCTACACTCCTGGCCCCCAGCCATGGGGCTCTGCAGTCATCCAGCATCTTCCCCTGGGCGGCCCCCATCCCAGTTTGTCCCCCTCCCTTCTTTAGTTTGAGAACTGCAATTGAGCTATTTGTGGCACTCAGGGAGGGTAGGAGAAGAGTAGCTGAGCACAGGACCTGACTTTTCCCCGCGAGTGCTCTAGTCTGGAAGCACCCCACAGGGATGCTGAAATATAGATGTTGCCGGACTACAGAAGTCAAGACTATAGAAGTCAAATCTGTATAATTTCTGTAATTACTTCATGATAGACTAAAGATTAGAACAGAACATTTTAAAATTCAAATGGTAGACAAGTGCCAGATAACCACACTTGTGTTCTTTCATAAAACACTTCTGGCTTATTCATCCTAAAGTAAACTGAATTGTAGACCCCATATTGACTTTCGAGAGTGACCTCCGTTAGTCTGAAATGCCAACTCCAAGTTACTAGTAAGTTTGTCTTGTCAGCTATAACTTAATTTGGAGGCTCGCCAAGCTTGAACTAGGGCTTCTTTGCCTCCCTCTTGTGAGTAGGTAACTAGCAAGATCTGAGCCAAAGTAGTACAAGATTGGTGAAAGCGCATGTATATAGGACACCTCCAAAGAGTGGGGTTTCAGTCATTGTTTTTTTGTGTTGGGTTTCTTGGCCACCTATTGTATTAATAATACCTGAAGTTTGTTGACTTAGCATTGAATAGATTTTTCAAAAACTGCTTGTGTGTCATGTAGGCAGCTTTGCCAGGCAAATGCTATCAGTTGCTGTATGAGGATGGGGGATTGTTTTAAGAGTTTTTAGCTTTTAGAATTACACTTGGTTCGTGTTTGGAATGATTAACTGATGTTATGCTGTTGTCACTCTGGTGTGTCTGCTGATGCTTATAGCTTTGCTAAGCTTCAACAGCATAAACGTTAATCTTGACTGCTGCCAGTAAGACTCCTATGAGCAACAGTGGAACTGATAAGAATCTAACCATTTTCATTTGGTTTTCAGTGTTCACCCCTTTTCCAATATCTTAGTGTTACAATCTTCATTTCCTCTCCTATCTTTTTTTTAACCTGGTTGGGTGTTGTTAAGGATTTTGGTAAAATTTGCAGCTCCTGCTTATGAATAGATGGTATGAGTATGCAAGAGCAGTTGATTAAAAAATTACCCTAATGTGACATTGAGACAGTCATACAGACTGATAGGGGAGAGAATATATAATATATGTGATCACCAGACAATATAATGTAGGAAAATATGAGGATGTAGAAACAAGGAAAAGAGGAGATTGACAGATAGCAGTATACAATACATCACAATTGGAAAGAAAATTGCATATAATAAAACAAGTAAAGGGCACATAGATACATATATTAAGTAAAAAGTTGATTGATTGATGTCATAATTAAGTACCCTATGCAACTGTATTGTCCCTTTAAAATTACTGTTGGGAATTCTGCACCAAAAATTAAAAATTCTGTGCACAAATTCTGCATATTTTATTTGTCAAAATAATACAATATAACCACACTAGTTGCAATGATTTTGGTATTTTATTTCAAAATGTCAGCAAGTATGTCTATAATAATACAGACTAAATAGATTCTTTACTAGCCAAATTACTTGAAGTAATAATCCATTTAAAGTACAATACAGAAATATATTTTCGCTCCCCTCAGGAGCAGTGGAAAGACTTGGGGGAGAGGGAAGGAGCCTGGGAGACAACCTGAAGGATTGTTGGGTGTGGGTGAGAGAAGTATAGAACAGATGCTTTGGGGTGGGGGAGTTTTGGAGCCATCTCATGAAGATCCTGACTTGACCACTAGCCTCTCCCATTCAGTCAGTAATATCTCCCTTACCCTGTGTGTGTGTCTCTGTATCTCCCTCTTCCCAGCAATCTCTGTGTACCTGCAGCCCTGCTCCTCCCATTCATATCCTGGCTCAATGCTATCTCTCACCTTGGTTCCTGAGCCCTTGATTGAATTTGTGACTTCCCTCCTCCCCCTCCCCCCAGCAGCCCCATGTGTCCCACTCTCTCTGTTCTCCTCCTCTCTCCCCCCTCCCTCCCAGTCCTTCCCCCTCCCCCCCAAAAAAACCTCCATATCCCATACCTCTTAACCTGGCTCCATGTGCAGAATGCTGCTGGCTGTGTCTGTGGATCAGCTGATACTGGCTGTTCTGGCATCATAGCAACCTCTGGTGGGCAAAAAGTAGAATTGCAGCACTTATGGCAGTTTTTTTTTCCTGTGGAGAAAAAAATCTGCATTGGACATAAATGCATGCACAATGGCTTATTATGCCCCCAACAAGTGTAAAATACAGAGGGCATGGCTTTAGGAATGTAATATTGCAGGGGTTTGTTTCAGTATTGGCAGATAAACACATGTATTATCTTTTGTAGGAAGATGAAAAATTTCTGACAGACTTGTTTGCACAATTAACAGATGAAGCCACAGATGAGGAGAAAAGACAAGAATTGGTAAGCATTTGTAAAATATTCATGAAATGACTGTCATGGTCTGAATTGCATTAATCACCAATATGTCTTTCTGTATTTCAGGTAAACTTTCTTAAAGAATTCTGTGCATTTTCTCAAACATTACAACCTCAAAACAGAGATGCTTTTTTCAAAACATTGTCTAATATGGGTATACTGCCAGCACTAGAAGTCATCCTAGTAAGTTAATTCAATACGCATTTTTCTGAAATGACTATAATGTAATGTAAATATTTGTAACACACCTTTTCATTTCTCATAAGGCAATCATTTAAAAAGCAGTTACAGTAACACTGCAGTAATTGAAATTGAGTCTACTTTAAAAAAAATTGTTTTTACGTCATAAAGTTTCTCTACGAGGAATGTCATGAAGTATTACATTATTCAGGTATTACATCTTTCAGTTCCTCTAGGAGTTTTAGTGAAATATCAGTTAGTTTCTAGTCTGTTTCTATGTTCAAACTACTAACAAAAACAGAGCTATTAACCAATACATCAGGGAAACTGAGAAACTGATTACACACACAGCTATCACTTAAACAAGAAAAAACGGGGCAGGATGGGAGAAGCTCTCATCTCTTCTTTAGGTATTAGTTGTAATGGCAATAGTAAATAACTCAGACATGCTTATGACTTCTGAAATTGCTTCTGCTCATTTAAAAAAATTAACGTCAGGCCTTTCAAGTACAAGGTTTTTACGTTCTTTAAAGTACTTAATAGTTTTATTTGATTTGCCAGGGTATGGATGATGCACAGGTGCGAAGTGCAGCTACTGATATATTCTCATACTTGGTTGAATACAATCCATCCATGGTACGAGAGTTTGTTATGCAGGAAGCTCAACAGAATGATGATGTAAGTAGAGGGTCATCTGAAGCTTTTTTTTTTTTTAGAAGGTTTATATTTACGAATCTGTTATTAGTGACTGAATCCTGTTTGTCAAATATGCATTTGAAATAGTTTTCTATAATGTTTCCTTTTAAGAAAAAAAAATTATAGTTGGAAGGTCCTTGCTTGTACCCATCATGATAGTATTTAAAATAATATTAATCACAACACATATGTGGAAAAGTGACCATAACTCCTCATTTGCATCGTCTGAGACTCCAGTAAGGCTGTTAAGGGCTAGTCAACTATCCAATAAGCAAATGTTTATCGATTAGTCAGTTGACTAGTCGATTCCCCCCACCTCCTTGCTGCCTCTATCAAATGCCTGGCTCAAATGTGCTGACCCTAGGCTGAGTTTCCAGCTGACTCCAGGCTCCATGTGGCATTTCAAAGCAACAGGGTAGTAGGGAGCCCGGGATCAGTGGGAGACAGTGAGTCCCCCGCTAACCCTGGGCTCCATGAGAGCATTTCTGGTTTAAAATGTGCAGGAATGGGGACTCTTTAACATTTCAAAGCTGGCCTGAGTGCAACCTGGAGTCAGCAAGACTTCCTGCTGGCCTGAGCTGCACATGGAGTTCTGCATTCCTCCTTTGAAATGGGCTCTTTTACATTTTAAGGAGGAATACGGAAGTGCCTGTTGACTAGTTGATGGAAATTCTATTGACTACTCAACTAGTAAATTAGCCACTAGTTAACATTCTTAGACCCCAGTCCTACTCCTTAACAGTGTAGTGGGGGGCTTGGGCACATACTTAAATACTTACAAGATTGTGTGGGATTTTCCTATTGCTAGATGGCTTATCAGAGTGTATCAACTGATGTGCAAATTGCAAGCTTTATTTTTACCTTTTTGCGCAACTATCACTACTTTTTATTTGGAAAACTAATAAATACATTAAATAAACTTTGTTTTTGTAATGTAGTTTGCAAAGTAGGTTCTGTAAAATGAGAATCAGAAATAAAGGGATGCAAGACGTCAATTTCTAGATGGTTAAATGCAAAACAGTTCAGTTTTGAATAGCATATAAATGAATTCTTCAGTAGTATCATAGAAATTTGCTTGTACAAGATAATAAAAACACTCTTTAAGACAGTGTACTAGTTAACTGTTGCTATACTAGAACAATCCTGAAGTAAAGAGAAAAGCTGGAAACTGAAAGCCATAGAAAAATTTAATTTGGGGGGGGAGGGGGGAAGAGAACCAGTGGCTGTTGTTAATTTTGAATGTAATAAAATTGGCATGTATTTTAGCTGCTTTATATGCCAGTTTCCTAAAATGTTTAATTAAAAATAATTTTAGTTATACTGTAATTTAAGATGATTCTGAGCATATCTCTGTTTAATTTCTGTATTAATGGTTTAAGGTCTTCATTAAATAGTGGAATAACTAACATATTTAGTTCATATTTAGTAGAAATATCCAGTATTCCAAGTTCCTTTTAAAAGTATTTTGTTTTTGTTTTGTTTTGTTTGTTTCCGGAAATAGCCCACTTTCATATTGTACAACTAATTTATTTCTGTATGGAAAATCTACAAATATGGAAGACAAGTTACAAATGAAAGCCCTGATCTTGTTAACATAAATAAGCTTAGTTTTACTTGTGAGTTAGTCCATTGTCTTCAGTTGACTACCCACATGTAAAAGTAAAGCATGTACGTAAGTGTGTGCAGAAGCAGGGCCTTAACTGGTTTCTGGTTGGTGGCTCTGTTCCTGCTAATTAGGCATTGAAGCACTAATGGGTTAAAATGTTTCCATTCATATACACTCTTAAACTTATATTCTGAAAAGGACAATCAAGTTAAAACTTGTAATTACAAAAAATAAATCCCTTTTGCACATCATAGTTTCAGCTTAAGGATTTTAACATGTACAGTTTCATCATTTATGGTACTTATATTTTGTATGTTTCTCAGTTTAGACAAGCTGTTTTTATCAAACTTTATCAGCAATTCTTAGTTGCTCTGAATTCTCAGGACTGAGTACTCTACATAATTATTAGGGATACAAATAGAGTAGGTTGGGGGAGACCAACCCGTAACAGACGAAGAGCCAAAATAGTGGTGGATACAGTGCAAAGAGCCAAGGGAAAGTTGTTGAGCAAAAAAACACAGCTGCTCTTTAGTTGAGGGGGAAAAAAAAGCGGCCATTTTGAACTCTGCGTGGAATGCTGCGGCTCTATCTGACAGAAACACGCCCCTTTCAGGGCTGCGGGCACAGGAACCACAATTTTTTCTTTGAAGAGCTGCATGCAGCTCGTGAGCTGCAGGTTGTCCACTCCTTGAGTAGATTTTCATGGGCATTTTTAAAAGTACATTTTAAGAATCTATTTCTGTTAGTCCTAAATTTTGTCCTAAAATCCTTTATTTTACAAAACCTTAATTTTGAGCCAAATTTGACTCAATTTCTATTTTAATTTTAGTTTTTCTTGGTCATAACTAATCTGTTCATTTTTATATCTTTCCCGTTAGGATATTTTACTCATTAACCTCATCATAGAACATATGATTTGTGATACAGATCCTGAACTTGGGGGGGCAGTTCAACTCATGGGTCTGCTTCGTACTTTAGTTGATCCAGAAAACATGCTGGCCACTGCCAATGTAAGTGCATTCCTAAATTCGCATATGGTTAGGATTTTTTGTGTGTTGATGAGGGATATACAACTTAGATGGAGCTACTATAAGGTGGGTACATGAGTGGTTAGATAATTGTTATCAAAGGCTTTAAGACTGGTTAACTGGTTTTGATAAATGTTTACACCCCTAATTGGTAATGTATATTACTTTCATATTAAAATACTAGGGGGCTGTTGCCCTGGCTCTTCCTCCCACCCTCAGCCACCAGGGAGGGCTGGGTCATCCCAGGCACCTTCCCCTCCCCCCCCATCCCCAACTCTCCAGCCCATGCCCCCCTTCTCTCTCCTTCCCCCTCCCCTGCAAATAAGGATCCCTTCTTTCTCCTCTTCCCACTGGCAGCCAGATTCCTTCTCTCTCTGTCCAACCCTAATCCTTCCCCCTCCAGCTGCAGCATGTGCCAGGTCCCCTCTAACCCTGGTGGCTGGGGAGGCTCAGGGGTGCCTTTCTGCCCCACATGGGGCACAGGTAGTGCCATGTGCACATGGTGCTCTGGGGCACTGTAGCTTGCTGAGTTGCGGAAAGCAGCAGCGCAGGGGGTCTTTGTCCCAACCTCTACCCCGTGTGGTCCTGCCTGAGCCCCAGCCCTGCCTGCAGAGCCCAGGGCCACTGTCTACCCATCGTGAGCAGAAGAGAAGGAGCAGACAGGTTGGTAATGCAACTCCTGTGGGTGGCTTGGGGTTGCTCTGGCAGCCACAGTAAGTGCAGCCACTGGGGTGGGGATGAGTCTCCACGGGGGCAGCATACTCTGGGCAATCAGGCATTGTGCTCCGGCTCTCCAAGAGCCTGACAGCGGAGGCGACTCCAAGAGCCCACTGCTGGTTCATAAGCTCAGCTGGGAGCCCTGCTCCTAGTGCCTATTCCCAGGCTGCTGCCCCGAACACTGCACCCTCTCCCATGGCTGCGATGGGGTCTTCCGGCTACTGTGCCATGTTTCTTGGCATTGAAAGCACTGTGGAGTTGGGTGGAGGAAGGGGAGTACGGGCTTGGTTTAAAATAGCAGTTCCAAGTGGTGAGGGGAAGCCACGAGGTCGGACTTTACCTGGAACAGGGGGAGAGAGGGAGGAAGCAGATGGGATGCTGTCATCCCACAGTAAAAATGTTTTTTAATATACAGAGAGATTAATTACTAGCAGGTGAGGCCCGTCATTAACCAAACCAAGTCATTTGCATAGATTACACTTCTAGGAAAGTTTAAGAAATTAAATATATGTAATAGAAGGTTTTATGTATATGCTTGCAAAAGGGAAGTAAAAGAACAGTTGTAAATTTGTAGGATTTCAACTGCAAACTTTATTTATTTTATTGAATAATTACCATACGTAGTAAATTTGAATGAGAAATTCATAAAGCTTCTGTTACTTTTTCCCTAATTTTAATTATTTTGTGATTTGTAACAGTAAAAATTTTCTTTGTACTAAAATGACAGTTGAATAGATGACTTGATTTTAATTTTGTTAGCAAATACTTTTTATGAACTCTATTCATAATAGTCATGACTTTTTTTCCCAAGGAAAAACAAAAATAATTTAAACCTTTCACCCAGCATATTCCTGTGTAAAAAAGTAATGCATTTGACTAATTTAAGTGGCAGGATTGTTTATGCAAAATTTGGTATCTGTAGGTAATCGCAAAGTATGATTTTATTTTGCACAAATAAATCCACAAACAAACCAACAATTTTCAAAATATATAATGTAAATCTATGTATTTTATTCTTTAGAAAACCGAAAAGACAGAATTCCTGGGTTTCTTCTATAAACATTGTATGCATGTTCTCACAGCTCCTTTACTGGCCAATACAACAGAGGAGAAGCCTAGCAAAGGTGAGACTAATGTGCATGTTGGCAATCATGAACAAAGCTATTGAATTGTTATACATAGGCTAGAATAACTGTTTAAGGGTATCTGGAACTCTGCATGATCAGTATAGGAGTATTTTGAAAGATTGTCTGATTTGAATGAAAAAGATGACTGAGCCATTTCAAACCTGCTTCCAGACAATTTTGAAGTTACATTTTATTTTTATTTGGCTCTTGTATGTGCATTTATACTAGCCTATAACTCAACAGTGTTTCGAAAACCAATGATTTTTACATTTTTAGGCAAAGAAATCTGAGTTTAAATTTTTCCATTTCTCTCGTGTTGTTTACTATATTATAGTAGTTTTTCAGTAACTTCATCTTTGATGTAGTGCTAAGTTATAGTCTAAGAACCTTCTAATTAAAAAAAAAAAATCTTGTATAAGCCTTTTAGCAAATTACATTAGGCCAGGTCCACATTAGAAACTTTTGATGGTATAGTAATGTCAGTTAGGGATATGACTTTTTGGTACAACATTTCAATATAGTCAAAAGTCCTAGTATAGATGCAGTTAAATGGGAATAGCAGTGCTTTTACTTGTATAACTTATTTTACTCACTGTACTGGTATAAGTTGTACTGACAAAAACACCCTTTTGCTGGTATAAACAGTGTCTGTAGTATAGGAATGTTTGCCTGCATAGCAATTCTGGCAAAGCTTTTCAGGTGTAGACCTGGCTTTTGGTGAAAATACCAAATCACTGCAGGTATTCTATATTTGTTTGAAAAGGTCTAAGTGTAGCTTCCATTTATTTACCCATACTAGTTTCGGAGAGCAAAATAGCATTTAAACATCTAATTATTTGATTGCATCTTCAAGTTTAGATTCAGTTTCTGAAAAGTACACCTAAATATTTCTAACTTACGTTCTTGTTAACATTTTGGTTTTTTGTTTTTAGATGATTTTCAGACAGCCCAGCTCTTGGCATTAATACTGGAATTGCTAACATTCTGCGTAGAACATCATACATATCACATAAAGAACTACATTATTAACAAGGATATCTTACGGAGAGTACTAGTTCTTATGGCCTCAAAGCATGCTTTCTTGGCATTATGTAAGTTTGAATTTATAGAGAATAAATAATTAGCTGTATGAAGATTAGTATTCTTCATGCTTGTATTTTACTGAAAGAAAAACACATTGTCTCACAGAAGCAAGACCGTTACCAGTTCAGTATAAAAATACCACCTTTATGTCAATATTTCTCATAGCAATTTGTGGATGTTACTCTTGACTGACGAGACCAGATGAAATTGAAAGAGGTTGTATTAATTAAACTAAGTAGGGGAACACTCTGTGAATTTTTTTCTGAAAAACTATTTAAAATTTAAAGTAATTGTAATTGGATATCTAGATTTCTTTCTATAATGTAGAATTTTAAAATACTGAGGATCTTAGCTGTTTGTTTAAGTTTGCGTTCTGCACTTGAGCTAGCATTTAATATCTAGTAATAGTATAAGATTGAAGGTCAGCACTTTTAGGGGTCATTGATGAAGGTTATTTGTCTGCCCTAGAAGAGTGTAAATTATACTGTGTTTCACATTAACTGGTCTATTTTGACCATGTACTAAAATTTTGCTAGCGTGCATTAATGTAGCCCCATTTCAAGCAGTACTGTTAAAACTCATGACAGAACTATATCGCCATCAGGAAAAAATGTTCACATCATAAACAGGTTTGATGTTGGCTGGTTAGCATGTGACACTAGTGCACACTAGATTTAACACTCCTCTAGTGTGGACAAATGCACAATATATATAGACAAGCTCTTTGTTTTGTTAATGATAGTACTTCAGTTTGAAGAGAGTATTTCTGGTAGTATATGTTAATGAGTTTTGCACTAGCATTTAAAGAAAATTCAATACTAATGGTGGGAAGACTCTGAACAACAGTTCCAAAAGTTAAATGATTGAATAGTTGTTACTATCTTTGCAACAAGTTACTTGTGAATCAAGGGGGAGATTAGCATGGAAATAAATATCTTGGATTGAGGAGATCTTTTTGAGTGTTTCATTGAAAATAATTTTGGTGAAATCAAAGCCATTTCATAATGACATTTCACATATGCATAGTTGATCTGTTTTCATAGATTTTTTTTCCCCCCCTCCACTTAGAAGCGTGGAAAATCTCCATCCGTGAGCCATGCAGTTAGGTTGGTATAACTCCTGGCATGCACTAGAAATGTGAATGTGTAGCCGGGTACACACTTAACTGATGAGCCTGGGCTCATTGGTTCCCCCCGCCTCTGTAGAAGAGGTAGGAGCCAGCTTTTAAATAGGCTTGCCATGCTTGTTGGCTCCCACAGAGCCATCCTTCCCCTCTTCCCCCAGTGCTGCTGCTGCGTCCCACACAGGCAACAGTGCAGGAGGAGGGGAACATGGGAGTTAGTGCCCACATACATGTTTATATTAAGGGGGTAACAGCTGAAAAGTTCAGCAGTTACACATTTACAAAAATAAAACTAATTTTAACATCCCTAGTGTACACAGCACTGTCAAGATAAAGATACTGCCTGTTGGGGAGGTGGAATGCCTGTACTGGCACAGGAGAAGCTCTCCTTTTGGCACAGTGTGGCTGCAGTGGTGTAGTGCTGTTAAGTATAGACTGACAAGCCCTCAGATATATGTAGTACGGTTGTCTGAGAGCTCAAATTCTGAGAGAGTGCTTGAGTTTGTCAGAAGAGAGAGCCTTGAAAGTGATGTAATTAAATCAGTTCTCTGCTGTGCCTGAGAGAAAATGCCATTTCACATTTTAAAATATAAAATGTTTACATTTAAAATTAAAAAAAAAAGATTCAAGACTTACTGGGGAAAAAAGAAATTATGAGCACAACTCTGATTGAAGGAAAATGTGTTTAGAATGTGATCAGGAAAGGGTAGATAGCACAGGGAATACTAGTTCATCTTTGACTTTTGGTCACAAGTTGAATAACTTCAGTAGTCTCTGTCTAAATTCCAGTGGGTGTCTAAATCTCAAAAGTATAACGCAGTAAGGTTGATAGTGTCTTCTCCAAGAGGGCTGGAACTAGATTTTCTGGTTTAATGACAAATGCTGGGAAGATTCAGCTAATCACCCAATATAATACCTGATTACAGTCTGCACTACTAATTTCTTCTTTTTCTTAATGGCTAAATTATCTCTCTTTTTTTTTTTTTAATCACATTATAAGCCTAATCATGATTACTGTCAAGTACTACATTTTGAAATGTTTTTTCCTTTAAACTTGTTTTGAAAATAAGAGTCTGTAGACTAGCAGTGTAATTATGACATAGCATTCTGTTTTGTTAAAGGATCTTTATGGAAAAGAGATGACGTGCACTTAGGATAACTACGGAAGATTTTTTTCCCCCAGTAATGTCATTACATTTCAATTCTCGTTTCAAGACACTAGAGATTTAACCCACAGAGTACTGGATATCTGAGTACATTATCTATTGCCAGCAATGTAAAGCTTGGATTGGGAGTTATCCTTCTTGAAGTCAGCTTGGCACAAACCTGATTTTTTTTTTTTTTTAAATGTAACATATGAAGAATTAACAATCTGGATTTTTAACAATCATTCCTCGGTTTTAACATGCATCTGATGAAGTGGGTCTTTGCCCATGAAAGCTTATGCTCCAATAAATCTGTTTGTCTATTAGGTGCCACAGGACTCCTTGTCACTTTTGCAGATTCATACTAACACAGCTACCTCTCTGATACTCATTCCTCTGTTTTAGGTGCCCTTCGTTTTAAGAGAAAGATAATTGGATTGAAGGATGAATTCTACAACCGCTACATAATGAAAAGCTTTTTGTTTGAACCTGTGGTCAAAGCATTTCTCAACAATGGATCCCGCTATAATCTGATGAACTCTGCTATAATAGAAATGTTTGAATTTATTAGGGTGGTGAGTACTATCACATCTCGAATGACCAATTTTAGTTTTTATAGTAGATCATGTATACTTGGAGTTAAATAGACTTTAAATTTATGATACAGTTATGGATGCCCAGTTAATTCTGATGGAACCATCATGGGACCCCTGGAAATCCATAATTTAAATAAAGTGTTGTATGTACTGCTGTTTGAAAATACTTCCTTTGTTTCCAGAGCTATGTTTAGTGAACGTACAATGTTGAAGTTGCCCTGCATTGTGCCCAAACTTGAAAAGAGTTGTATAAACTAACTCTAGATGGAATTTTTTTCTGGAACATATAATATCTGAAATATAGATGTAATTTAAAATTAGATACGTGAACACAATAATTGTATACTCGGGGGGTGTCTGTAATAATTCTACGGAATATGGAAAGAAGTGTTAATCTACTGGATGATGTAAGATTTCTTCATGGAGCTATAAGGAATTAGTCAAATCTCTCCAGAGAACTGTTTTCTCCCCCATCTGCCAATTTACCCAGACTCTGGCAAGATGCTGTCTCACCTTAAGATCCATAAGGTGGCAGGTGGCTTGATATCGTTGGGTTGGGATGGTGGTCAGGGGCACATTCATAATTTCCCCCACTAGTCTCTGGAAATTACTTGGGAAATGTAACAGATCCTGGAGCTTTATGAATTTTCTGTGATAAGGATCCTCCCACTTGCATGGGCCCCCAGGGTAGGGATGTAATAGTGTAGTTGATTAACTGATAAACCGATAACCAAAAGCTTATTGGTTAATGCTATAGACTACGCTCATTCCTGCCAGTAACTTTTTTAGCAGGCTGACCAGCAGCCTGGCTTAGTCCCAGCTTGCCCTAGGTCCAGGATCTGCCCCCACTGTGGCTCTGCATTTAAAATGTATTTAGGAGCCAGGTGGGTAGTCAGACTGGCTCAGTTGCAGCTCGTGCTGTGTCCAACCTCAGACCCGATCCCCTTTCCCCCGAACAGGGGCTGCTGCCACCCCTGTGCTGCTGCCTCTGTATCAGAGGCAGCAGTGTGGGGTGGCAGGAAGCCGGTCTGTGCAGGGAGCTGGTTTTAAACTGGCTCCCCTCGTGGAACAGCTACTGTATCAGAGGCAGCAGCGTGGAGTGGCAGGGTGCTCCTCTGGAGTGGGGCTGGATTGCACTGGATGCTAGCCCCATCCCTAAGGACTATAGAATCAGTGAGTAAACAATAATTCATGAGGTTAATCTACTATTCAATTAACTGGTATTTAACATCCCGATCCCTGGCCTTGACTACCCTGGGATAATCATTGTTGATAGGACAGACTCAGTGGATTGAAATTTCTGGAAGTGAAAGAGAGATTTGTGTTTGAAGCTGCAGAGTCAGAGGGCCCTGATTTCCTACTGGTCCATAAAGTGCTGTGGGATTGGGAGCTAGCTGCACAGCTCA